AACTTTATATAAGTTCAATAACACAAATTTATATCCAATTTAAAAATAAAAAGCTGCAGACATATGCTGCAAGTTTATTTTCGGCTTGCAAATAACTTATTTCGATAAGTATGTGGAAAATATTTTGCAAATTTTAGTTTATATTCGGGAGTTTTTTCGGTTTAAGCTGCATGACGTATAGTTATCGTAGGACAATAGGTGTATTATATACGATCAATGAAGTATGATCATTTTGTATGATTGAAATTTCCGCAAAAAGTTTTTTTGGTCATTGCAATATGGTTCGTTGCTAAGGTAACATCAATACCTCTAGATATTTTTGTCAGTTTTTGGATTAAGGCCCTTAGGTCTTGTACACACTACTAAACATAAAATTTGGATAGCAAAATTTTTAAAATGCTATAACTTGAGATTGGATTGGCGGTTCTTGATGATTTTTGAGTATTTGGAATCCTTATTTTACGTAGATTTTCTGTGGTCTGATCATTTTATTTGAGGGTTGAAATTTACACATTATACCAGGTCGATAATAGACAAAAACGTAGCATTAAGAACAAGTTTATTACATTATATTCTACAGTATACAAGATTGGTTAACAACGGTCAAAAGTCAATTCTTACAAAATTTCTAATTAAACCTAATTTAAAGGTTCCTGCAATCCCTAAAAAAGCACGGTGTACTGTAATAACAACGATTAGGTATGTGTGGATAGAAATACCTAGTGATAATTGGTATTGGTAATTTTTAATAAATAAAAAATAGCCTGAAAAACATAAAGTATCTGTCCATTAATTTTTATTTTTAACCCACTGCGTCAAAGATGGGAATTGCAACCTTACATTTTCGGAGTTTACAATAAAATTGGGTTATTGTTGGCAACAGAGTGTTAAAAGGATGAGGTCATTGAAAGCAACTGGCAAATATCAATGAAAAAATACCTACCTAATCTTTAGTAATAATTTACCCGAAATTAAGTAGGTACATTAATTAAAAGAAAGAGCAACTAATATTTTGTTGATCCTCCTGCTCGACATATTACTTCCCGAAATCGATAGAGTATCCACAAGATTATTTAAAAAATCTTGTGGAATATTCTCCAATTCCAATTCTTCACGAATGGTCTCACTAAGCGTTTCTAAGGTTTCAGGAGGTACATCACGCGATCTTACTTTAAGTTTTAAATAAAACAAAACGTGTTCGAGGACATTAAGATTCGGAGACTTTGCAGGCCAGTCTATGCTATGTTCTGTGCCTGCAAAAACTCTGTGATCCATCGCGCTCTGTGAGGTCGAGCGTCGTCTATATGGCGTAGCCAGATTACAAAACCCGTCGTTTTATAAATAGCGGCCCATTTGTCAAAGTCTCGTTTACCTTTCATTATTTTACTATCTGGCCACCCGGATTATAAAATGCCTAGCCGTTTTATAAAAAGACGGACAACACACGGCCAGATTGTCAAATATTTAAGATTATCCTCTGTTTGACATTCCGGCGGGTAAGGAGTTTCAGTAGTCTTGTAAAACACTTCTGATTTTCGATATGAACAATTTAATTTTAGCTGATAACAACTGTATAAGTAAAAATGCTAAAAATAAAAACAAGCAAATGATAAAGAACAACTACAAGTTCAATGTATAATTTCGCAGTACGTAAGTAATAAAATTAAAGGGAAGTGTAATCTTTGTTGTAAAGAAAAAGTAATAAAAACACATTGCAAAATAGATTAAAAACGTGTATCTGACCAAATAGTCAAAATCACAAAAAAAGGAAATATTTGCAGGTGGGAGAGCATGTTTCTATAACATTTTGTGTGGCAGGGGTCCGTTGACCCTAAAGCTGTGTTAAAAACTATTCTTGATGTACGAAATGGAGTAAAGTAGATATGAACTGAACATGGGCTTAAAATCGATGGTTTTCTAGGGACCAACTTAACTCAATTGGTACGTCAAACTTAAAACCAGAAAATACCAGTATTACGTACTAGCTATTTCTAATGGTTTTTAATTTGGAGGGTTTAAATAAAGCCAGTAAAAACCTAGTGCAGTTTTAATGCTATACAGACAAATGTCTTAGTTGTCTTAGTTTTAAGGCACGGGGAAAATATCACAGTTGGTGTCATTTCAATGGTCCATGTTCTAATAAATAAAATATGCTTGAGAAATACGGGTTTGCTGGGTTGTCTGTCAAAACATGGCCGTAAGTACTTATATTGAGTGGGGCCCATCAAATGCAAAAATGAATTACAGATAAAAATTATTCAAAACATTATTTTATAACTTCATTGCCAACAAAAATACTAACATAATCAAATTTTGCAATTTTCTTCAAATTTCTCCATGTATTACAATCACGTATTTGACTAAAATTATAGAGCATCACAACAAATCTGGTTGAAAGATTTTTTTTCTATAATCATAAATAACAGAAATATATCTTTAGGTAATATTAAAAAAACATATTTTGATAATTGTATTTTGATTAAAAAACACTGCAGAAATCATAGGGTCGGATATAAGATTATTATTGGTTATTTTAAGCTTAGCAACTGTTGTTTGTAGTTTATTTGTTCTTCAGTTTTATTTGTTCTAGAGTTTAATTTGTTCTGTTTAACACCTCTGCCACCAAATGCCTCTTAAGGGACAATAGTTTCCTCCAAATATCGCTGATTTTTTGGCCATCTCCAAACTAACATTTGGCCATCGGAGTGAATCAAATTTAATCCTGTTTCGTCAGTAAATAAAAAATGGCTCCACTCTGCATTACCCCAATTTGCATGCCGATTTGCCCATGCCCGCCTATTCGCTCTATGGTGTTGTAATAACCGCACACATTTTGCTCTGCGACGGGCTCTATAATTTAAAATGTTTGGTATTATGTTGTTTTTAAAAAAATTCTCACCTTAAGTTCTTTTTATTTAATTTTCTTCTCACTGTTCTATCCAAAATTCCCACCCCAGTTTGTTACCTTAAAGAGTCATTTCGTTTTCTAGAATTCTTTGTTCTATTCTGCATAGTTTCTCTTATTAAAATTATTTCGGTTCTTTGGTTTATTTTTTTTTTGTATATCCACCCCCAAGCCCATAATTATGATCACCAGTAGTTTCGACGCGACGCGCCTCGGTTCAAATTATAAATTGTCTTTCGGTTGACATTATAAATGTGCGCGCAATTTGCTTTTTTTGACATTTGCTCGTTGAAAAGTCGAATGCAATTTTCTCTTTCTGTCGTGGTTAAACGCCTCATATTAATTAAAATTTACAAAATTATTACATTGAAATGTGTCAGATTATTTTTAAAATAATGTTTATTTACAACCAGATATGAAATGCTGTCATTACTAACGTCATTGAAGGTTGGGAAGTGCCACATTACACACCTTTACTTCCCGCCCTCATTTCCCGCCTTCATTTCATCTATTCTAGATGAATATTTTTTAAATTTAAAAAAATAACACATTTTTTTGACAAATTTTATAATACTTATTTAATGGCAAACAATTAAAAACAACAATGAACTAACTCCATCAGATTTTTCTAACCATTTATGTATATGTGAGGAGTAATTTTTAATTGTTTTTAATATTTATGTATTTAAATTAATTTATTATTATTATTATTTAGGATTTTATTACTATTTAATGTATGTAATATGTATTATCTGTAATTGTATTGTTTTAATGGGCTCTGACCCATAAATAAATAAATAAATAATAACTAAATAAACAAACTACTTATTGATATTTATTATTCGCGAATTTAATATCCGACTTTATCTGACATTTATTTATATTGGTGGCAATTGTTTACCCCGTAATCACGGTAACAATATATTTACTTGATTATTCTGAGAAAACCGCGCGCTTGATAATTTGTCGTTAAATGTAATATTTTAGGTATGTTCAGAATGAAACAGAGATTTATTAACTTTGATCGAAATATGATGGTTGTAAATAAAATAGTATACAGTTTCATTCCTGCCTCGAGATCATAACTAATCTCACGACAGGAATGAAACTCTTCCCACCTCGGTGTGTAATATATTATAACAGTTTTTAATTCCTTAGCAACAAATTTGTTTTTCCAGTGCCTATACTTTGAAATTGGCGCGTCGCATAGAAAATACATGCAGCCGATCATAAATATGGGCATGGGGGTGGACAAAGAACTCTGTAAAACTGAATGACTCTTTGAGACAACAAACTGGGTGAGAGTTTTGGACAGAACAGTGAGAAGGACATTAAATAAAAACAACTTGGGGTGAGAATTTATTTTCACAAAAACTTAAATAATGCCAAACCTCAGAACGCATCTTACGCTACGTTTTTGTCTATTATCAACCCGGTGCCCGGTATAATGTGTAAATTTCAACCCTCAAATAAAATGCTTAGACTATAAAAAATCTACGTGAAATGAGGATTCCAAATCCGCAAAAATCTTCAAGAACCGTCAAGCCAATGTCAAGTTATAGCATTTTAAAAATATTGCTACTCAAATTTTATGTTTAGTAGTGTGTACAAGGTCTAAGGGCCTTAATCAAAAAACTGACAAAAATATCTAGAGATATTGATGTTACCTTAGCAACGAACCATATTGCAATAACAAAAAAAATTATTGCGGAAATTTCACTCATACAAACTTTTTGATTTTTTTCATGACTTTATTGATCACCCCATATATAATAAACCTATGGTCCTACGACAAATATACATCATGCAGCAACTAGCTATAAAATCTGCAAGTCGCGTTCAAAAATTTTCATTTATGTTAAAAATATTGAACTTTAAATTTTGTCTAAAAATCTCTATGTGTAAGTTCGAGTGGCCAGCAGTTTATTTAACAAACTTGCATTTATATTTGTAAGCTTGCAATACATTTGCAGCGAATGTATTTTGCTTAGTGGGAATAATTTTTTTTTCTTAAAAATTTAAAATGAATTGCAAAATGTTAAATACAGTTTTTTCTTACTACCGCTTATACTATTAGTTGGGAACTCCGGCTTACCTGATCTTGTACGAATTCCATGGTCAAGTTCTCCATTCCTCACTAAAGTATATGAATATTTTTCGGTCAAAGGGGCCGAAGAGGTAGAACTCATTATCACAGTCTATATTCGAGATAAACTACCCAAAAACATATCACTTTGCACCGAAAACAAAAAATTAACCCTACTTTGTAATAGTTAACTAATCATGGTGTGTGTAACTACCATGAATAATGAATGAACGCTGTTATGTCAGCTGTTTCATTAGGTATATTGTTGCTTGTTGCTTCGAAGTAACGTTGATTCTAGCGGTTAATACAGGAAAATGTTGATAAAAATCGGCAATACTGTAATTAGTTGATGGTGACTGTATCATTAAAAAAATGTTGCTATTCATCGTGTTTTGTTGAAATCGGTGTGTTTGTATACCAGTATTGATAAAGGATTTTTTTATCAGATTGTTTTAAATAATATATTACTCATATTACTCATATTATTATCTTTAGTCGCAGACGATTCGTCCAAAATTAGAAGGGACAAAAATTAAAAAATGTTTTCTGGTAAAAATATTTTTATATTTTCACCATTTACTACAAAGAAGTAGACGGGACAAATTGTATTTTTTCTTTAATTTCTACTTTAAAATAGGTAAGTAACGCCAGAACAAGAATTACTCACTAGATTCGCTATAAAAATCTTCCATATACAGGGTGAGCCAATAAAACGTGATTATTTCAAAAAATTATCTTCTGTAAAATTTGACGCAAGCTGTGGAAAGGCGGAGCATTAGGCTTGTAGCTGAAGTTTCTTCGTCAGTAACTGGACTCAACAAAATATATGGTTTTATAAAAGCCAAACTAAAGTTTTAAAATATAATGTCAAATTTTCAAACCAAAAGGCAAAATATAAAATTTGGGAGTATATAATTAAATTAATTTTAATAAGATATTTAGGGAATGATTATTTGTGCTAATCAAATATAAAAATGAAATTACATACAATATCTCATTTCTTAATTAAAAAGAGTGTAGAAAATGTAGCTTTATATCATAGCTGTGTGTTAGCAGATAAACAAATTTTTGTTAATTGTAGTACGGTAAAGAACATCGGCAATCAAGAGCGGGGAGTGCGGGGAACTGAGGCGGTAGTAGCGGACCGTCATGAGCGCTCCTCCAGGCAGAACGATTTGAGTCGCCTTTGGGTATCTATAGCTGTTGTTGCTGTTGGCATTGTGTTCTATCTGTAATCACCTGGTAACTAAATAATTATTTGACTTAATAATTAATAGAATCTAACATCAGAAGTCGGATTCGCTCACTAAAAGTACCACGCAAGTACCTGGATCTTAACTATTCCTGTGAGTATTTCCAAGATTAATATTTCTTTAAATTTATCAGTTGAATAATTGTTAAAATTGTTATTGGCCATATTGGCGAATGTAATTTTTGTATTAGTTCGTTAAATTTATCAGTTGATTTACTGTTTTAAATTGTTATTGGCGATATTGGTGGTATTCATTTGAAACACCGTCATCCTGTAGAGGCAAATAATTGTATGTATGTAGCCGATGTTATTTTCGTGTTTAAAAAAATTGCCACTATAATAATAATAATAATAATAATACTCTTCCTAATTTACCCCCTTACGAATGAATTTTAACCCCAAAAGCTGAGTTTGTGTGGGGAAAGGGACGGCTATTATTATTATTTGCCGTGGCGCTCCGGGGCGACTTAAAGATGATTGATGGTGCCATTTGACTTGCAGGTGAGGAAAACCCCACCCACCATCATATATATGAAGCTTATTATTTTAAAAAGAAACTTACCAACCATCTAGCTCTCGAACAAATTATATTATTTATTGATTTTGATAGTTTCTTTTTTAATAAATTTATAATTCAACTATCTGATAGATACCGGAGAGAAATGTAGTATTGCAAAAACTTCCAATTGTAATTTAGAGCACTGATAACGTTAAAAGGCCTACGCAACGTAATTGTTAAAAATAGTGAAATACCATTAAGAATTGAATGCAATTGTATAGAATCCAAAATTTGTTTTTATGATGTTGGCAATTTAGCAGTGGTTTACTGTGCTATTTTTGACAGTCGTTTAATTTTGAATTTTGGTAGAAAAAAATGTTTTCTTCACTAAAAGGAATTTATATTATCTCTGTCAATAACCAGCTGAGAAAAGCTTAGAAAAACAAAACGCAGAGAAACTTAAACATTTATTGTTAAATTTATTTAAGTTTGAAAATAACCATTCAACAATAAATACCACTGAGTTAAAAATAAAGCTATCTAGTGACCAAGTCATTAATTATCACACGTACCGTTTGTCGGCAACGAAAAGAGAAAATAAATATTCCTTTTCATATAATTTCTATTGATTGTGTTGAGCCGTAGTGTAAAATATCAAATAGCCCAGATGATTTTAAACACGCTTTTTTTATCGTCAATGCTTTTAAGAGATATGTAATTCTATACCCTTTAAAAAAAACGTTAACCAGAGTAGAAATGACTAAAACATTAGAGAATTATATAACGATGTTTGGCACGTATTATAATTAATCGTGGAACAAATTTTACCGATAAAAAATCCTTATTCGTAAATATAAATATTAAGCGTGATTAAATTATAGCAGGGGCGCTACTGGACAAATTTGTCAGAATGGACGAGCGCTCTTTCCAAATTACGATTAACTGTTAATTCTACCATTCTGAAAGTTAAGTACAGGTCAGGTTAATCCCTGAGGAGTACCTCTGAACTTAATATTGTTTTCATGTTACCAGGGGCCCTATCATCGGCTATCGTTTTCTAAAAAACGTATACGCCCTAGCAAAATTCGAGCGATTCGCTATTATCGACATTCGTTTTAAAAGCGTGTACGTTTTTTTACAGCAAGCGAAATTTTTCACACGTTTTTCATAAAACGTGCATATTTTCAAGGATTTAGTCAATGCCACTTATATGTCACTTTTAGGATGATTAATAATATTGATTGATTTTAACAATTTCTAAACTCCTTTTTATAATTACCTACAAAAGTATCTAATTTCTTATAAATATGGTAGCTGAGAATTTCTTACAATTATTATTAATTGTACAATTAGAAAACTTGGAAGATAAGAATCCTCTAAAATTCAGACATGCAGAGGCAGAATCCATTTTTTGAATTAAATGAATATAGAATGAATGTTTTTTATATCTTACCGTTTAAGAATTTAATTATTAATTCATGTACCTATGTTTTATTTACAAATATTAATTTGCTTGCAGTTTCCTGCAAGTAGTAGTTCATAGCTCTTCTGTATTACACATTGTGTCCAGAAATTGTAACAATTTTGTAAAATTGCCACAAAATAATAAAGAACTGAATAAAATAAGCAAAGGTATTATTTAAATTAATTTTGTACCATAAAACTAGGTATTTTGTGACGTACGACTTTCCTGGAATTATAGGTTGCATTGACTGCACTTTTCGCCAAAAATTAAAGATTCAGTTTATCCCGAACATTTATAAATCAAGATTTCTGTTCTATTTTAATATACAACAAAGGAAGTATAAATACTTTATTTTTATTAAGCAGCTTTTTTTATATTCGTACTAATAAACTACTTGCAAACCATAGCGATTTAATTATTCAAACTTTCAAACTAGTTTGATCAAAAGGTTTGATATTTCAAACTTTAAAATTTTATAGTTTAATTTGATTTGATTCAATGCACTGCTAGGTTTGATTTGAGTTTGATTTGAATTCAAGTCAAATTCAAGTCAAACTCTAAAAATCAAATCAAACTCGTGCATCTCTAACCATTACAATCACGCAGCAATTTTCTAAAGCATTTTAAACGAAATTAAGAGTACCAACTATGAAGAATGTTCATAACTTTTTCTGTCTTTTTATTTTTAATATCGTAGGTAAAAAGTCCATTTAAATTATCTTTGCTTGCTTTCTCATTATCACGAACGAAACTGTATTAGTTATTAATTGTTTAGGATGTTGTAGCGAATTTCGTCGATCAGATGGTTTTTTATTGTTAATTTTTGCAATAAATTTGAAAATTACAGAAAATAAAGAGACCTTAAAAATGAGATATCACAAGCTATTTAGGGATTTGAGGGGTTGCAACTGGCACTCGAAGGGAGTTCAAGGTAGTGGTGAAATTTTTACGTTGCAGGATGTCATTTTATAATCTAAAATTAACGTGTTTCGGGATTTTTATAAATATGCACAGTAATTGAGCTATTGAATTTATTTAATTTGCCTGTTACACACTGTATACAGGGTGTTCCTTAATAATAATAGCGTTTATTGTCCAACAGTATAAACCACTTACAGAGCAAATACAAAAACTTAATAAAAGTTAAATTAAATTTAAATATCAGTACAGCACTATAGATTAGTACATTAAATATTGCAAAAAAAGTGCCTTATTCAAATTATTTAGTTAAGAATTTAAATATAGAATAAAATAAACTCTCAATTATTATTAGCAAAATATTTTTATATCTACTAAAAATCAAAAAAGCCAAAAAACAAATAAATAAACTAAAGGTGTGTACGATTTTTGTTTTTTAGTTCATATATGGTACAACCAAAGATATCACAAAATTCAGATATTTTGTTAGCATTACTACACATAAAATTTATTGGAGATTTTTGCATTAAATTTGTTTGAGCTCTTTTACATTTATATAACAATTCAGAGCTATCAACTTTATTAAGAGTTTATGTAAGTATAAAGCAGAACCCTGCATCCTACGTTTTTCTAAGGAAACAAAATCAAAATTATTTAATAGAATATCGTAGTCCATACCTCTATAGGATAAACTCCATCAATTTTAAATTGTAAAAATTTGAGAAACCTCTTTTGAACCTTCTCAATCAATAGAATATATTGAAAATATAAGTGACTCCAAATTAAAGATCCGTATTCTAATTTAGATCTAACCAAGCTAAAGTAGAGAGATGTTAAAGTTGAAATATTTTTAAAATTTCTACAGTTTCTCCAAATGAATCCATATGCACGGTAAGCTAAATTAACTATTTGGTTAATATGATTATTAAACGTTAACTGGCTATCAAAAATAATTTCAAGATGCCTGATATTTTCAGTACGTTCCAATGTTACATTGTTAATCGGATATGGGTAGTGTATAGTATTGGATTTGCGTGAAAAAGTTATTACTTTACATTTATTAATATTCAAATATAATCTATTTTTGAGGCACCAATTTTCTAAATAAATCAGCTGATTCTGTAATACCACACAATCATATAAAGTAGAAATAATAGCGTATAATTTGAAGTCATCAGCGAATATTAATTGGTTAGTATTAATTTCATCACACAGGTCATTAATAAATAATAGAAAAAGCAAGGTACCTAAATTGAGGAACTCCACCAGCTGCTATATAGCAGAATCCGTTTAAGTTAACAAATTGTTTTCTTTGGTTTAGATAAGATCTACATAATGAAAGGTACATATCATTGAAGCCTAAGCATTGTAGCTTTTTAAGAAGTATTACATGACTGATTTTGTCGAAAGCCTTGGAGAAATCAGTATACACTGCATCAACCTGACCTCTTCTATCTAATGATTCACATAAGTATTGACTAAATGTCGCTAATTTGCTGATTGTGGATCTCGAGTTCATAAATCCATGCTGGTTATACAAGATTGACTCTAAAACTCTCGCTGCGTTATTCAGTATAGATATGGGCCTATAATTATTAATCACATTACGATTTTCAGACTTGTGTATAGAACACACTTTAGCTACTTTCCAGCTATCTGGAAAAGTTGACGTTTTTAAAATTAGATTAAAAAGTGTCTTGCGGGAATAGATTAAAACTCTAATAAAATCTTTTAATAAAAATGATGGAATTTTATCAGGACCAGAAGTAAATTTATTTTTACTAATATCAATATAATTGGAACAATCTCTTGGGGCTGAGACAGGCCAAGATACTTCTGGGTGAATATAACCAAAAAAGATCGGAAGCCTGCATCTGCCTGAGCAAGAACAGGCTACGTATTGTAACAGGGATCCTTACCTGGCACTGCCGACTAAAAGGACACCTAAGTAAACTGAGAGTAGTAGAGGATAGTGAGTGCAGATTCTGTGAGGAGGAGGACGAAACCTCCATTCACATCCTAACTGAATGTGTAGCACTCCAGAATCCAAGGGCACTATATCTAGGAGGATATCAAATAGAAGAGGGAGACTTAACCTAACTTGAAGCCACTTCAAATCCTACACTTCCTTGAGAAAATAGGATTGGAAGGGTCGCTATAGGCATTGAGACATTTCCTTAGTGCAGTGGCGACAGAAGGGGGCACAATAGATCTTTTAGGTCGCAGTGTATTAACACCCCATTATCAACATAACATAACATAACTAATATCAATTAGATTACCATTTTGAAAGTTAAAATTTAGATTTGCATCATCTGGATCTGCCAAAGAAAAAACACTTTCAAAATATTCCAAAAGCGTTTGCAATATCTTGGGGATTATTATATGATTCCTCATCGCAATGCGTTGTTTCAGGAATTCTTGAACTATTATTTTTTTGATGTACCAAAAAGATTTAGGTTCATTTACTAAGCAGACTTGGAGATTTTCTGTTTAACTAATGTTTTAAGTCTACTTAATTCCTGATAGTGAGCAATATGTTTTGTTCTTTTAAAATTAATATGTATTTTAGCTTTATACTTTATTAGATTTATAATTTCGCCTGTATTTATGTTTAAAATTTTTTTTAAGTGGAACATAAGCATCAATAATTTCATAATTTTATTATAGAAACTTTCCACTGCTAGGTTGGAGTTGTCAAAATTTGCAAGGAAGTGCCAGTCAACATGTAATAGAGCATTATATAACAAGTGATAGTTAGCAATTTTAAAGTTGTACATCTTTTCATTAATATTTGTGTCTAACTTTTCATGTTTAATGTATATTTTATTAGGACCTATACTCGTATATGTAATGAAGGGTGATAAGCATCTTCGATAACAAGTGCTGTGTTTTCTCTGATGACAGAACAACTTATATTACTCATTACCAGGACTAGTATACGATTGTAGTTATTAGAAACAATATTAAATTGTTTCATATCCAAAATAGTCAAAAAGTTTGTAATTAAGCGAGTCTTATTATCCTCAGTATTATTTAAAATAAAATTGGTAGCGTTAAAGTCTTTCACAATCGAAACCCTCTGGGAATGTAAAATTTCGAACCCTATAAGTCCATCTAAAATCTATCAAAATTCCCTAGAGGGGTTGATGGTGGAATATAGATAACTACTACAAATATAGTACAAATATTACATTGACACATGCACACTAAAAAGTCAATATCGGGAAAGTTATCGTCCAAATCTTGAATTAGAACAGGTTCAGATTTCATATCAGGATCGATCAATAGTGAATAACACACCACAACCAGAAGATAAGTTTAAAATCAAGTTTCCTGTCTCTGCGGTGAACATCATAATGACCATTAGGAAATAGTTCATTCAAGTTGATTTCAGGCTTTAACCAAGTTTCAGTGAGCACCATAATATTGTATTCACTGTCACTTACATTAGCTGAAAATTGGTCAACTTTGGTGTTAAGACCTCTTATATTCTGGTAATAAATGGACACTATCTCGTTGTTGATGCTGTTGGGCTGTTCTAGTTTAAAGAAGTAACTATAGGTACGATTTTTAGAATGTTGTTAACATACCTTATTCGGATGTTAACATCACCGTTGTTGATTCGACCATCGCGTTCTTGCTTAACTTTTTTATATTACTTTGTTTTGTGCGATCTACAGCTACAATTACTTGCTTGATATTCGAGTTCGATTTAGACGCTTGGAATTTTTCAAGACTGAGCTCACTGTTGTTTCGCTCTCCAATATTATTTTAATAGGTCTAATTTTAGATGCTGCGGAAGCCCCCAATCTTATTGGCTTGATATTTGTTGTAGGTAGATCTGAAGCAACAGTGTTTAGAATTGCAGATACCTTATTTTTGTCTATCACTTTTTGTTCTTTTAAGGATTTGTTTTGGTCGGGCTCTGACACTTTAAAAATGACAATGTTGTTCCTTCGCTTTTGTCTTTCAGTAAATTCTGTCATCACATCTTCAAAGTCGAAGTCAGGCGAAGCCCTATTATAAACAATTCGAAGATTTTTATCTCGGAGATCCTTAATATCGTTCTGAAGCTGGATAATTAAAGCTTTTAGATCTTTCATGTCTTTTCCCATCGCTCTACAACCGATACAGGTCCAGTCATAACCTCTATTACCATTTAACGTACGTACTTCGTTTACAGATAAATTGACACATGTATGCATAAACTTCTGTTTACATATGCTGCATGTAACCATTTGGTAACTCTCATATGGCTGGGTTGCAGCACTTCCATGATACCCGAACAGGCATTTTATTTACTTTAATAAAATTTTCTAGCTACGCTTATGCAAAATACTGTTGCAGGTGATAAGAAGAAATTGATGGAAAAATAAATAACTGTTAATGATAATATATAAATATTTAAGAGTTTAAATCTACATGAATTTTTAATGATTGTTTGCTTCATTAACTATGGTCCAAAAATATTCCGTTTCAAAAATACAGTTTTGGAAAAAAAAAAACAAATAAATAATATTTTCGTAACCGCTTTAGATTTGATTAAAAAACACCCAGTATATACGAGTAATTGGATAGATTTCATTTTAATGTAAAACTTTCGAATATGAATAGTAAACGTTATTTTTTGAATCAAGTATTTCTGATCATTATAGTAACATTAAAACCCCATAGAATCAAATTAGGCGTATTATACCTCCTTGAAAATGTTAATAATTTTATTACTTTTAATACCTTGATGACAAAATCGATATCAACCCTAATTTCCCATGAGCTGTATTTACTTATATTGACCTAATAATAACAAATAATTTTTTTCATATTATGTGTTATCAGGAAAATTGTTAGATACTTTTGTTTCTATATACAATTTTTTATTCTCTTGAGGACACCGAGAAATATGTTGATTGTGTTTTCACATATACGGGGATGGTCTGAAAAGTTTCCGACCTAACACCGATACAAGCCATTTTTTCTTTAGAATTATTTTTATTTTTTACATAGTCTCCTTGTACGTCTATACATTTCTCCCAACAATGCTCACATCTCTTCCAAATACTACGCGGCGTCTTTCTCTGAAAAATAATTGTTTACGTAAATATCTGTCCTCCGAGCGCAATTTTTAGATTAGGGGATAAATGAAGTCGCTTGGGGCTAGATCTGGTGAGTAAGGAGGGTGGTCATACAATGCAAACTGTAATGGGTGAATTTTCGTCATTGCAACCGCTGAGGTGTGAGACCGCGCATTGTCTTGGTGAAACAGATTTTTTCTGCTGCAAATGTTGCCGTCAGTTTCTGCCTTTGGCTTGTCAAGTAATGATGCGTAGAATGCTCCTTATTGTTTTTTCTTTTTGAAAATAATCGATTAAGATAACTCTTTAACTATTCCCTAAAAACAATCGCCATCACTTTCCTACCCGAAAAAACTGTTTTTGCTTGTATTGGAGCCGATTCCCCCTTCGCTGTCCACTGTTTTGACTGTATTTTTATTTCGGGGGTATAATGGTGTATCCAAGTTTACTCTACAATATTTAATCAGCGCCAAAATTCTGATTTATTGCACCTATACTGCGCCAACAGAGCGATGGAAATGTTCATCCGAACGTGAACAAACGCGGCACAAAACGCGCGATAGCTTTCTCATTTCTAAATACTAATTCAACATGTGACAAACACGTTCTTTGGACATATTCATAGCCTCTGCTATATCTCTCACTTTAATTATATGTTCATTTAGCACCATTTGATCAACTTTAGCGATATTATCGTCAGTGGTTACAGTTTTTAAACATCCCCAACGTTCATCCTCTCCCAAGCTGGTACGGCCACGTTTAAATTCAGCGGCCCAAAATTTAACGATGGTAAATGATGGTGCAGAGTCCCTATATACAGCGTCTAACTCCATCTTTTATTTGTGTAGGCGTATTGCCTTTCAAAAATAAATAATGAATTACTGCTCGATACTCGATTTTCCATTTTCAGAAAAACACTTACATCGACTGAATCAAACAATTGTCACACAACAACAGACCGTCCAAAATGGATGTACCTGTCAAAAGAAGCGCAAACACATTTCTTAGTTTAATTGACAAGTGCTGCCATCTTTACGTTCAGGTCGGAAACTTTTCAGACCGTCCTATTTATGTTACGGTACGAAAATTCATAGGGTCATTCCCTAGGTTGTTTTATAAGAAAAACCTCATATGAACCTATGTCCGGAGATGCTTTGTTTCTGAGAAACAGGCCGTTAAATTAAAAAAAAAATGGTATTTTATAAATATCAAAATATCCTTAAACCGATTTGGTTGAAATTTGGTACAGTTATTTTAAGTAATAAGACGCTTTTTTAGCCCCAACTAGATTGAAATTATTGGAACCAGTGGCGTCTCAGTGGGCACCACAGCCAATTTTATTGAGAAAAAAGTATGCCACTGACTATTTTTCTAGTTTTTGTATTTTTTACTATCCTATCTGTATACAGATATAAGGAAAGTATAGGAATCATGATTTTTTTCGACCTCGAGTTTTCGACGGATTTTTACGTTTTGAGGTCCCCTGAATCCGTTTTGACTATTTTCGCGATGATGTCTGTGTGTGTGTCTGTGTGTGTGTGTCTGTGTGTGTGTCTGTGTGTGTGTCTGTGTGTGTGTCTGTGTGTGTGTCTGTGTGTGTGTCTGTGTGTCGCATAACTCATGAACCGATATACAGAAAAACACCAAATTTTAAACTTAAGCTTTGTTCCAACATCCAATGAGCTGAGATTAGATTTTGGGCAGAGTCTGAACATCTGGGGGGGGTACTTTATAGGTGGTTGTTTTTATTTTTTATGGAATATATCTGTTATTTACGTTTGGGGAAGAAAATTCTTTAAAAAAAAGTTACTTCCTATATTATTATCTATAATTTTTGTTCTATACAAAATTTTCCTAAAATGGTCCGTATTCGAGAAATTTGACAAAATGTAAAAAAATATTTTTTTATAAAAATTGTTCAAACAAACGTTGTTTGTAATATAATTCTCTATAATTCTTGTCCTATATATAATTTCTCTAAAATGGCCCGTATTCGAGATATTTGAGAAAATGTGTAAATTTCGAAATTTGAAGAAAACTCAAAAACGGATAAATAAAAAAACATTAAATTTTAAACTTAGGTTTTATTTCGGCCTGACGTGAAATTATTAGATTTTGGACAAAGTCGGAACATCTGGGGGGGGGGGTACTTTATAGGAGGCCGTTTCTATATTTTATGGAATAATAATAATTTTTGTTTTACGTAAAAATTTACTGAAATAAAAATTTTTGAAATAAAAGTTGTTTGCGATATCGATCTCTATAATTTTTGTTTATACATGATTTTTCTAAAATGGACCGTAATGAAAAAATTGTAGGAAATTTAAATTTTTCAGTATTTTCGTTTTCAATGAATATCTATAGAAAAATGTTTCGAGGTAGATGTATGTGGACAATGTATATATTTAGTTTATCCTCTAAACATTTATAGAGATGCTGCAATAGGTTGTACAAAATAACCGGAAAAAGCCTATAATAACCAGATAGGAAAGTCATGTGTTGGACACATCAGATTTTTTAGGGTAAAAATACAATTTTTTTTGTCTTTTGTGTTTTCTTTATTCGCTCCGTGCGAAGTCATGGAAAGGAGAGCAAAAGCGAAACTAGCGCTAGCTGCGGATAATTCGTGCATTTTAGGGCGATATTTTGTAATTATCGCATATCAAATACTCGTATACATATTTCAAAAAAGTAGGTAAAAACAACACAATAAGCAATCGGAGTTGCTGTGTTGAAAATTGTACAAATACTAGCAAAAAAACAGTGAAACTTATATAAAAAATTTCACTAGCAAAGTGGAAATTAAATCAAAGAAATAAATGGATAGGTGTACAATAAGAAGAAAAATTACCTTTATTTTTGTGATAATAACAGTAATGCTGGAAATAGTAGACATCAGAAACTTGAAAGGTTTTAAATAAACAATAAATTATCATTTTACGATGTTCTTTAATATCCCTTTAAATGTTCATTCAGCAAGGACTAGATTTCAAGATTTCTGCCTTTGATTATACAGTGTGGAAACCACTTATGGAATAAAATTATTTATGTCATTATTTTAGAAAATTGTAAAAAATGCCGAGACACGTCAACTTTTGAATTGAGTTGTGCGTTATGTAAACATAAATTTAAATGTACAGGGTGATTCACGCAAGTATGCCATAGTCGGTGTTGTTTTTTTTTTAATGAAACACCCTGTATATTTGCATATTTTTGAAATCCTTTTAATGAACCGATTCCAACAAACTGAATAATGTATGTATGCAAATATACAGGGTGTTTCATTAAAAAAAAAACAACACCGACTATGGCATACTTGCGTGAATCACCCTGTACATTTAAATTTATGTTTACATAAGTTGACATGTCTCGGCATTTTTTATAATTTTCTAAAATAATGACATAAAGAATTTTATTCCATAAGTGGTTTCCACACTGTATATGGCTGGAATGCAATTTTGTGACTTACTGATGGGAAACCAGTTTTAATCATTAATTCTATGTTTTCTTTCGAACAAAAATGAAAATATAAATAACGATCCTTTTTTATACATTTTAACTTCACGCTATTATTAAATGGTATTTTTTTATTTTGACAGAATAGGCTAATTCTTCAATGACAACTTATTAGACTTAGGCAACTTCTAATACATTTTCCAGTAAATACTGTTGCCTGTCTATATTTTATTATTGATTTTTATTGATTATACATAATTTTCTTTAATTTAAGCGGGAACAATATATAATAATAATAATGAATTAATGTTTTGCTTATTTTACAAATCCATATACTTTTATTAAAACTAACATATATACTTTTTATTTACGAATTCTATTATAAATTGTATTTGTCAGTATAGGCAGAAATAGTCCTTTAATACCAAAACAAATTGGCGCTGCTGTCGCGCACGGAGCGAATACCTAACTTCATTTTTGAAAATAAAAAAAATAGAAGCCACTCTATTTATTGCATATTATGAACATTTATTTTTTATTAATATCAAAACATAATTTCGCTCATTTATCTTAAACTTGATATCTACCTTTTTCTCGTTTTATTTCGAGCTAGTAATTAGATTTGACTTAATTATTTTTGGGGCGTCTTGGAAGGCAACTGAGTTATAATCTGCAACACCACTGACTGGTTGCAATAGGTTTATTATTTT